GCAATGGCAAGCATTTCTTGCATTACAACGTGGACAGAACGGTCGAAGTGATCCCCACGCGAGAAGGAGCAGTTCGGTGATCCAGAACCCTGTGGATGCGGCTCCCTTGCAACCACCCCTATGGCGGCGCAAAGTCGTAAAACGTGGGTAGCAGAGCCCGGTTCTTACGACCAGGGCGGGCCTATACAAGTTGGTACATTCGATTTGCGCGTGTCAGCCTTGCGGGTGGAAACTCTGGAGGGTTTGACAAACAATGAAAAGGTGCGGGTTCGTTTTCGGCGAAAACAGTTTGGGCCTATTGCATCCTATTGCGGCCATCGGCGTGTAGACATCTAGAGTGTGTATGACAGACTGTACCTGGCCTCGTAGTCAGCCAGGTAGTGGCGGTCTACCCAGGAGGTGGCCTGGGTCTGTTGATCCACTATCTCCAGCGGCACATTTATGTAGGTCTTCCCCACCTCAATCTCACAGAACTCCTCTTCACCCAGGCGGTACCCCACATAGTGCCAATGTCTGCACTGTTGAGATCTGTAGGGCTACCACTGAAAGGATCTTGTCACGCTCCTACGATTCCATCCCAGGACACGTCCAATCCCTGCTTCTGGGTCATTCCTCGAGCGGCCGAGCTGTCAGATCTGGCTTTGGTCTGGCAGGAGCCTCCTGCGATCTTGTTCCACAGGTGTCGCACCAACATGCGCTGGGAGCATCCAGCCACCAACGCCATGAACTCACCCTGACCAGAAGCACCAGAAGCACCAGCAATTGGTTTTTGGTTTCTCACCTTGCTGTCAATGAGGTTGCCATCCACAAACGCCTGCATCGAAGATGCCGGTTTCCGGTCATTTTTGTTGCCGACATGGTCCGATTCCGTCACAATCACCAGCAAATGTTCGTCAGCATCTTCGACTTCATCAAGAAACCGGAAGTCCATCATAGATTGGCCCTTCTTTGGCTCTTCCAAGCTCACGCCGCACCCACTTGTTCCGAAGAGGTATGAACAGGTGTGCCACGCATTCTTCAAAGGCGGGTTTCGTTGGCTTTGACATGTGCCGAACTAGGCACTGGATGACATA